AGGGCACACTGCTGGCTCATGGTCACCCTGTCATCCCCCAGCACTCCCAGTCCCTCTCCGCAGAGCTGCTCTCCAGCAGGGCCGCCCCAGCCTGTACTGGTGCCTGGGGTTGTTCCTCCCCAGGCGCAGGACCCTGCCCTTGCCCGGTGACCCAGCGGTGACGTGCCGGTGTTTGGGATACGCTGCTGATGGGTTTGAAGGAAAAAATACTTCCATACTGTTATTTAACATAAGCTGCTCCTTAGTTATTAAATTTAGGGGAGAACTACAAGGCTTGTGCAGCGCTTGGCTTTTTAATAGCTGGATTTTTATTAAGTAGATGTGTTTTTTTGCAATGAGTAGGGTTTTGATCGTTACTGACATTGGTTTTAGCTTCGCTAGCTACGCGCTGGATATTTGCCAAGCGCAGAAACGCGCTTCGTGCCCTGAAGCCTGTACGATCTGCAAACGACGGCGCTGGGGGAAGAGGGAGGGTGTCACACGCCGTCTAACACTGGTTTTTCTCCTCTGCCTTCCCTCGCTGCAGACGGTACCGAAGCCGATAGCGCTGGAGCCCTGCTTCGGGAACAAAGCAGCCGTCCTCTCCGTGTTTGTGAGGCTGCCTCGAGGACTTGGGGGTATACCACCACCGGGACAGTCAGGTGAGGAATATTGTTGTCTCCACTGGCTTGGCAGAAACTCCGTGCTCCTTCCCCAGCCTCACAGATTTGCCTGACCCTTTCAGAGTTGATCTCACAGCAATTCCTGGAGCCACACCACAGCCGAGGAGGTGCTCGGGTCGGTTTAAGCTAGCTGGCTTGGGCCCTGCCAGCTTCCGACCTGAGGTTTGATTCCATTTCTCAGGTCAGTTGATGGAGGAACAGTTGATATCTGGAGTACACTTTAATTTATGGCTGGGGATAAAGAGTTGTCTGGTCCAGACAGGTCTGCAGTAGTTACTTATGGAGGTAACTCATCTCCCAGCCTGTTCCCCTTCATTCCCAGCTCTGTTTGTAGGGAGACGTCAAGTCCTTTCAAAGCGTCTGTGCTCTGCTCTTGGCAGCTCTGAACTGAGAAATTTTCTCCATCCGGCTTAAGGCTTTGTTGTTCCCACCTTTTGTTACTTCAACCTGATGTCAGGGCACTGAGACGTGATCTCCTGGGCAGTGGGTGATTTAACTGGGGTTTCTCCAGTGCCCGGTGAGCACGGTGAAGCAGAGGATCAATCAAGGAGGATGAGCTGGGTCCAAGATGGGGCGGTTTGGTTGTGAGCTGTGCTGCAGTGGTTTCTCTGCGGATCTGCCGGGAGGAGGTTGGAGAGGTGGCGGGTGTCCGGGAAGCACACCAGAACCTCCGTGGACCTGTGCTCTCAGGGTTTATTCCAGCACATCTGCCGGTGCAGAGAAAGACACCTCTCTCAGTATTACGGGTTTCACATCCATTAATACCCACGCTTCTGATTCCCACCTTTTTCTGCTGCAGTTGCTTGCAATAAAACGTACAATATTTAAAAGCTTATTTCCGAATCGCCGCTAGAGTTTAATCTCTTAAGCCAAAACACCTTTCTACTTTGCTTTTCTTAAGAAGAGCTCAAAAAATGATACTCATTTTGCGGCTTGGAGGGTTTCTCTCGGCAGCGGTGGAAGGGTTCGTTCCTGTGACCGTTTTGTTTCGTTGCCTCAGGTCTCGCGGTGGCCAGCGCGCTGGTGGACATTTCACAACAGATGCCAATTGCCTACAAAGAGAAATCGGGTGCAATACGAAATCGGAAACAGCAGCCCCCTGCACAGCCAGGAACCTGTATTTGATGCATGGACATCAGAAACTGTCTAGGGTTTTAAACAAAACGGAAAAGTAATACCGAGGAGGAGGAGGAAGATTTCCAAGTTGTGTGACGAGAGACTGGAAGCACTCAGAAAAACACGACTTCCTTGAACCCGACCTTTTCCCTCATCTACGTGATCGCTGGCTTGATTTGACAACTGCTCCACTTAAGTTTTACTGACACGTGGCTTCAGATTGCTCCTTTGTTTTCTTCGAGTTTAAAGTGAAATTAATTTTATTGCAGGTCCGGTAACATCCGATCGCCGCCGTTCATGGTCAGTGTAAATAGAACCGTAGTCCAATATGAATGACACTCAGGTTTATACATGGAAAGTGCTTTGTAGTTCGTGTATTTATCAAACTGTACAAAAAGAAAAAGATGCAGTGTTTACAGGTGTCAGCTCTCAACACATAAACACTACTATTAATCTTCAAAGCATCTTCATCCTTTGTTTTCATTTAATAATATATGTTTATTACCTCATTATTTAAGTGGAACTCTCTTCCTGAGACAGCATTTCTGTAGTCGCCATGGTCCGGAACACCAGGAACGCAAAGCTGGGATGGTTTAGAGGTTGATGTCGCGTGTTGCTCAGACCACGTGCGATGCCTGGAGAAGCTGGATGTTGCTTTTGAAGGACTCAGTGTTTACATAGTCTTAACCTGCTTGGAGTACACCACACACAAGTGCCTAGACTTGAACAGATCTAGGGAGTGAGGAGACTGCTACCCACGTTTCTTTTTAACCTAATTATATTCCTTTTAAACGTATGTATACACACTTCTGTATAGTCACCCAAGGCAAGCTGTGTTCTCTGTGAGATATCACTTGCAGTCAGGGGAAAATGGCATTTTCCTGACCACCAAACTACTCAACCAGGTGGAAATATCTGGAGGGAAAGTAGAGTTTCAGTATCTCGCAACAGAACTCCTGGTTTCACCGGCGCTTTTAGTAGAAGCAGTTTGTGTTCCAGGTCAGATACATTATATTTCTTCCGATTTTCTCTACCCATTTGTCCTCTTTCCCTCCCCCTTCCCTTCTGCCATTCTTCTGGATGAGAGCTGAGCTGTGCAGGGGCTCAGAGGCATCGCTCCTCAGCAATAAGATTCGCTCCGTCTCCTTACAGGGTGTAAAAAGCAACACTCCGCGTGCCAGATCATTTGAGGATGAAGTAAAGAGGAGCTTTAAATAAAAAGCAAGCAGAGCAGCTTCGTTTCGCCACACATTTGAGTTCTACATGAGCAGTTATTGGTATTTCCCGTTGGGCTTGAGCTCTCCTACATGTTGAAGAAGGTGGCTTGGTGGTGAGAGGAAGGGACTTGCAAAGAGCAGGCTCGGCTTCTGGGGGATGTATCAAACCAGCCGAAGCACCCTGACTACTTGGGGTCACGTTTTGAGGTTCAAGGTTGGGCTTAACCCATCGGTCTGTGCGTGCCGCTGCCCGGTGTCTCCCTGGATTTGGGAACGCGGCGCAGCGCCGGGGCCAGGCGAAGCTGCGACGTTGAAGCTGGTAGGAAGACGTTACGTGAAGGTGCCGAACGAGGCGTGTAATTGTTGCTTGATCACAGTAAGGGCGCTTTCATTCGGGTCGCTGGTTTCTGGTGAGGACATCTAGGACGTATGAGGTGGAGAAGTGACCGAGGGGAGCGAAGGGAAGCGCTCGTGAATCTTCTGGCCAGGCAGCACCCTTTTCCCGAATGAAACCCAAGTAACCGCATCTCTTTTTGTGCACGTTTCGGTGAGCGGTCACATACCAGCCACTCGTTTTTGTTTTGGGGTGTTTTTTTAACCGTGTATTTTGAAGGAGCTCTTTGGAGCGCGGCAGCATCGCCATAAAGAAGTGAATTGCTGTGCGTGTCCGGACGGCAGTGGTGGGAGACAGCCTGCTGGTTTAAAGACCCTGGTGGGTTATAATTCTGATTTAATGTGTCATTTCACAAATACAACAGGACTGCAGAAAAAATACTGTGGAAAAAAAATGCATTTTATATATATGTGTGTGTGTATGTATATATATAAAAGGCATCTGTTGCTAAACTAGAAGTTTAAATGCCCTCTGGGGAAAAGAAATTATGGGAGGGAAAGGGGTGAGCTTTGTCTTTTGGAACGAAAGGGTTTAGGCAATTGGAGTTGTGACTGATGCACAGATTACCTCAGACAGATTCATCTCCTGAAAGTATTTTCCAACTTCCTACGTGTATAGGGCTAACCTGAACCGGAGAAAGAACACTGGACGAAAATCCCTCCCCTGTTATTACTCTGCGTGTTTTCAGTCGTGGCGCACATCCCCATGTTCCGAGCCGTCGTTGTCTCGCTTTTCTGACGCTTCTTTGAGAGGAGAACGGCCAACCCAACTGGAGAAAGCTCTTGGGCTTAAGTCTCCGTATTCAGGACAGCTCTTAGGCAGGTGCTTGAAGTTGTTGCTTGGGTTTTTCTGAGCAGGAACAGCTTTCAGGACAGTAGGCCTGGAGGGGTGATGTATTTTTATGTTAACAAGAAGACGTAAGCGTGGGTTGGGGGTTTTTTGTCCCCCCGCGGAGAGCTGGGTTGTCTGGTCTCAGAAGCTCACAGCGGAGTGTGCCCAGGAGCGTAGCCATGAAGTTAGATGTCAGATATTGGAAAGACGAGTGAAAACGATCCAACTTGGAGGTTCA